TTTTAGAGAAAAAGCTGCAGCTGCAGGGCAGAGGGAAAGGCAGAAGTGTGAAGCATAAGAACATAAATGGATGATAACGCTGTAGTAAAACCTATCACTTTGCATGCCAAGTTAAATAACACAAAATTAAATTTAAAAAAAAAAGAAATATCTGATGTTGAAGAGAAACTTCTCTAACTCTGTTAGGTACTGCTAATAGCAGAATCTCCGGCTGAACCTGGGGACTCAGTTACATGTGGTCACACCAATCACAGACCACTTAGCAAAAGATACTCCACTTTGCCTGTGTATAGATAAAGACTGGCAGGGCCAGGTCTGCTGCTGCAAACTGGGAACTGGACATGGCAGCCAACAGAGGTTCCAGTTACAGATCCTGGACCACACAGTCACCAACAATTAATTCTCATTCAACCTCCCTTTGCTTGTCCTCTGTTCCCACAGCCCCACCAGAACCTTGTAGGGTCATAAGAAATACTGATGCTCTTAAGTTCTCTTGAGAAATTTAACATTGTTTTCTTTTTAAAACATTCCATAGGAATAAATAACTATACTAACGATGTTTGAACATGATGGTGGGTGGGCACTGGTGACCATTCAATTTAAGACATCTTGAAGGATGAAAAGGATGCCAGTTTCTAGACTTTTTCCTCCTGTAAAAGTGTCCATATGTGCCTGTTGCTGCAATACTTACCTTGCTATTTTAAATGTGATTCAGATGCCATTAAGATAAATGCTTGAGAAATATAAGTCACTTTATGCTTAACTCAACTGAAGTCATTAATGCATATATATGCATATACTCTATAATATGTGTAACAATGCCCTCCAGTGATATCAGTCTTCTAAATAACTCAATTAATTCTATGATTGTGATACCAGCAAACAACTAAAAGCAAGGTGAGATCCTGAATTTTTTCTCTTTGGTTTTGCTTTGTTTTTCAAGAAGGGTTTTTCCATGTAGCCCTGGCTATTCTGGAACTCTATAGACCAGACCCATCTGCCTCTGCCTCCAATTGCTGGGACTAAAGGAGTGCACCTTCATGCCTGGCAATTTTTCACATTTTTTTAACACTACAGAACAACTACTATATTTGGAGCTTAGAAAGTGAGCTGTATCTTCTGTCCCTGAAAGCTGTCCCTAGTATTCTCTTACTCACTCCAGGCATCTTAGGTTCTTCCGTTCTATTTAAAATATTTAGCTTTCATTTTACATGTCACATGTTTACATGTTTACATTTTACAGTTCCCCCTCCCTCCCTTCTCCTGAACCCCCACCTTCCCCTCACCCCTCCCCATTTCTCAGAGAGGGTAAGGCCTTCCTTGGGGAGTTAACAAAGTCTAGCATAACAAGCTGAGGCAGAACCAAAACCCTCCCCCCTGTATCAAGGCTGAGCAAGGTATCCTACCATAGGGAATGGGCTCCAAAAAGCCAGTTCATGCCCCAGGGATAGGTCCTGGTGCCAGACACTATAAATTCTAAAAAGAACTACATGAGAGAATTGGAGAATCTGCCTGTCCATCTAGAATAGGCTCCTCCCACCTTCAGACAGCTCTCTCACTCTCAGACTCACTGTTCTGATGAAACAGCAAGAAGCACATGGGATGCCAGAGTCATTGGCATATAAATGCCAACAAAAAAGAAGCTACAGTATTAGACAGAAGAGAATAAGATTAACCAAGTGCTACCTATAAGGATAGCAGACAGGTTCTTAAAAGTACAGGAGGCCTGAATAATTCCCCATGCTTTAGTTCCTTTTGTAGGCCCAGAATTCAAGTCTGAGTAAGTGTACACTAGTGATAAGGCATTTTATAAGATATTTATCCATCTCTAATGGTTAGATAGGCTATATTTTTTTTTAAATCTATCACAAGCCAAAACCCAACATAGACTTACATTTTCCAATCCAGCCTCCTCCAACCTAATAAAAAGGGAAAAAAGTATCATCTAATGTAAATCATTGAGAGAACATTTTAATTATGAGGAGTACTAGGATGCTAGATGACTATGAATGAAGCATTACAGCTCTGCACAAACCCCCTGGCTCCAAGCCTTTGCAATGTCCATGGCATCAAAGCAGAAGCCTGCAGCAGGCAATGCTGTGGGGATGCATGAGGCTAAGATAAAGTAAAGGACCACATTCTAATTTCCACAGGAAAACATAATGTGTTTTATTTCTGCAATATTTAGGGGAGACAAGTATCCGATTAAAGAAATTCATATTTTCACACACTACTATTGGCCAGAACTTACTGAAATTTCTTATGCATAACAGAAGAAACACATCAGTGCCAGCCACCTTAGTGGAGCTAGGTCCAACATTAAGACTTTTCATCACCTTTTGCCTTTACTATGTGTGGTGGTTTGAATAGGTATGGAACCCCCCTCCCCCATAGACTCATGTGTTTTAATTCTTGGCCCATAGAGAGTGGCACTATTAGGAGGTTTGTTGGAAGAGGTATAGCCTTGTTGGTGTAAGTATGCCATTGTAAGTGTGGGCTTTGAGGTCTTATATGCTCAAGCTACACCCAGTGTGGCAGATAGTCTCCTTGTGTTGCCTAAAGATCAAGACATAGAACTCTCAACTACCTCTCCAGCACTACGTCTGCCTGCATGCTGCCACGTTTCCTGCCATAACAATAATGGGATATGCCTCTGAACTGTACACCAGTGCCAATTAAATGTTTTCCTTTATAAGAGTTGCCATGGTCATAGTGTCCCTTCATAGCAATAGAAACCCTAAGACACTATGCTCACACCTTCTATAATATATCCAATTAATGGTTGATAAATCAGCTTCAGTTTTGACCACAGGCAAAGGTGATGGGGAATTGGGGAAAGAGAAATTCTCAAGAAGGCAACTTAAAACTTTCAAACATTGGCTTTCAATGAACAATCCTTAAATTGTCTGTCACTGGTTACTTAAACGCAAACCAGCACAGGGCACCTTTCTGACTGACCCAAAGCTTTCAGGTAAACAATATGAATAGATATTTCCTCCTAAACATTCATTCTAAATTTGGGACCACATGTAATCACCTTATCTGACCACAAAGTGAAAGCCAACATAACAAAATGTGGTTATTTTCCTCTGCTAGCTGGAAGACATTTTTCCTGCTAAAGGCTCAAGTCATTCTGGGCAAAACACTATGAGCAGACCTTCTCACAGCAGCTGGTTCTTTGTTCTTTCTCAGTTGGCCTGACTTCCTGTTCTTGCTAAGTGTACTTCACTTTCTGCCTTCCATCTCATTAGAATCTTACTAAGCCTTTCCTCTGGTTGCCCTTTAGGTCTTTGGAAGGTGTTCAAGAGTCAATATCTCTAACTTTGGACCACCTCACCTGACTGAGGTGTTTCTCCAGCAATCTGGTAGTAACATCTCCTTTAACTATTTTGTGAGTGAAGAAACAAACTACAAACTCTTATCAGGGGCCAAAATAACTACACCAGTTGGACCAATCTTCATCTACCACTAACAACTCCAGGAATCCATCAGAAGTGAGCAAAGCATACTTTCAAGTTTAAACTCAGGTTTATTACGGTTATCTCTTACTATATTTTTTCAATTGTATACATCAAATGTTACTCATTTTAAAAAAAAAAAAAAAGGCCGCACGTAGTAAGAGAAAATAATAACATAACACTGTATGTATGCATGATCTCAGTTGTATGATTACAGAGATGAAGATGTATATAAAATATCCATCTAAAAGAAGAGTCTTTGTAAAATGCACACCGAATAGAAGACTGGAAGGAGATATTTTTTTAAAAATTAGTAGTAGTTTTCTGAATAGTAATAATGTATGGCTTTCATTTTCTCCTATTTACATTCCTATGTATTTAAGATTTCCACAAAGATGATATATTATTTTATACAGTTAATAATAATGTAACTATAAAGAAATAAGTAATATTTTTATTCCTAGCTAGACAAAAAGAGGTCAGACCAAATTTCAAATTCTAAGTAGCTCAATATCATTAAATTTTTCTATTCTGTAAAATTAAGAGTGCAAAGCTCTTTCTATATCTAATTTTCATAATTTACATTCAGCTAGTATGATTAGAAAGGTGAAGAACATAGCTGTGCTCAAATATATAAAGGCCTTTTCTCCTTAACTCATTCAACAGCTTTTAATTCAAATGAAACTGGCTAATAATAATTACTTTAAACTGAGACAGATTCTTTTGCTACTAAGAAGTATTTTGAATGCTACAGTCTATATGCTATAGGTTCATAATTCCAGAGTATCAAAAATGGGGTAAAGAGAGGTCTAATATACAACACTTTAGGCTAAAATAAGGGATCAAACATAAATGGCTACAAAATATGTAAATTAGCTAAGTTTAGTGATACACATCTGTAATCCTGCCTATCTGAGCTGTTGAGGCAGGAGGAGCTCAAGTTCAAGGCCTACCTGGGGCTATGAACTAAGTTAAATGCTGGCCTAGGTGAGCCCCTGTCTAAAAATAAAAATATACATGTAACAGAGCTGAGATGGTGACAGAGCCTTCACCTTGCACAAAGTCTTAAATCTAATCCCTGTGAATACAAATGATTTCAACAAATAATGGGCTGTGTGTCGCTTTTGTTTTTATAATAAACATGGAAAGTTTCATAGTAAGGGAAAAATAGAAAAGCTTACTGCTGAATTTAAAATAAAAAAGCTGTATTTATTGATCTGTCACACGCAAACATAATTTATAACTAAAACTAGAAGAAGGAAATACTAGGCTCCCATGTCAAGGGTTTTAATGATTTATAGTTGTCACAAAGACCCCAAGAAAACTAAAGCTCTGCAAGATTAATTCACATCATAACACTTTGAGCCAGCAAGAGCTATGTCAAACGTTCAAATTCTGGCCTTCTTGACTCTACACATCTGCTTTATCATTCAGCCTCTTAAATCAATGAGACTTCCTATATTTTACTAAACACATCAAATCAGCCACATTGCAATTAGGGGAAATACTAAAAATGGGCATCTATGAAAGAAGAGTTTGTAATAATAATGTCACTTTCTAAAAAAAGGGGGGGGGGCATGGATCCACACTTACCTGCTTAAAACAAGGTCTTGCTATGTAGTCCCATCAGAACACAAACTCACATCCTCCTACCTTGGCCTCTAGAATGCTGGGATAACAGTGTAAACAGTGTATACCATCTTTCCTGGTTTAATGCTTGTTCCTTAACAACATATATATGATATTTGATAAATCAAGTGCTACAACTAATACATATTTTTCTACATGTAAACATTTGGGAAATACTAATATCCAATCTTTTTAAAATCTAATAACCATAGCAACGCTTTAGAAGAAAAGCAAAGTTTCAAAATACCTCAAATAAACCACCATTTTCCTCACAGCTCTCATGGCAAAGCCAAAGTACCAGAGGAGCCACATAATCTGGCTTCAGGGCTTCAACAATATCTGAAATAAATACAAGAATATCTATAAGCAAGAGCACGTACAGGTTTCATAAATCATTTTTCACTTTCTGAAAGTATTTTACATTAATAATCAGACACTTTTAAAATAAATGTGGACAAAATTATTATATAGATAATTAATCTAAGCTTAAAAGTTTTAGAGCTTTTTCATCCCAGCTGAGAAAAGCCTAACATACTCAAAAGTTTCTCCAATCATAGGTATCTTTCAATGATGGGTTGCATATATTTGTTGAAAACAAAATTACCAGAGCTGCCTAGGCAAGAACTATTGAGAAAAAAATAAAACGAAAATTGGCCATCTTAGTTACCACTCACCCTCAAAGTCCTTTAACTCAGCTTGCTGTTTAATAAGAATCTAGGAAACTACAAGCATCCTTGGCAAATGTCAGCAAAGATAATGACTAAGACGGAACGTACAGCTGCATAGGATAGGAAAACTGTTAAGAATGACCTCCCACTGCACTTCTGCGAACAGCGTATTAGTGCAGAAAAGAACTACACAAGGAAAAAGAAGACCTGGACTTCAGTGTCAGCTCTGTGGGCACAAGACTCAACTCTACTACTCCCAGGCCTTTATCAGTAAGCTAGTAATTTAAAGTGCTTTCTTGCCTATGGTATTAAGATGTACCAAGCACAAATGAGAAATGACTATATCCTATAATAACTTATTTGTTTATAATACATTATAATTGTACCTAAAGGATTGTGTTAGGTGCAAATTTTAATTGACATAATCAAATACAATTATACTTAGATGAAAAAAGAAATTTTTTTTGGTTTTTTTGAGACAAGGTTTCTCTGTATAGCCCTGGCTGTCCTGGAATTCACTCTATAGAACAGGCAGGCCTCAAGCTCACAGACATTCTGCCTGCCTCTGCCTCCTGTGTGCTGGGATAAAAGGCATGTGCCACACTATCCAGCGAAAATTCTGATATAAAATCTAATGGCATGCTACGTGAAGTTTTACTCACCAATCTTTGCCTAGGCAACTCAATTTTTCTCCTGAAAAACTGTTACTTTGTTGCTCAAGCATCAAGGATACAGTTATTACAAAAGAAACTTAAGGGAAGCCTAAACACAGAAAATGAAGAAAGTGTCAACCAAGAGAACACAGGGAAGAAACTACAAGGCAGAAACAAGAGATGAACAAAGAACTAAGAAAGAATCCATCATACCAGCACTTATAAACCAACAAACCCCTGAGGGTAATGATGAGGAAGAGGAGGACCATAATAAGAAGTCAGGAAGAAATAAACAAGAGTACAACAAAACAGAAAAACAATGAAATTAAAGGAATTAGAAAACCTCTCTCAAGTTAGGAAATAAGGAGGAGTCTAAGAGAGACATACATGGTCCCATGGAGAAGGGGAAAGGGACAAGATCTCCTGAGCTAATTGGGAGCATGGAGGGAGGGGAAAGGGAGCTAGGAGAAACAGAAGGGGAGAAGAGGAGGGATGAGGAGGACATGAGGGAGCAGGAAGGTTGAGTTGGGGGAAGAATAGAGGAGAGCAAGATAAGAGATACCATAATAGAGGGAACCATTATAGGTTTAAAGAGAAATCTGGCACTAGGGATATGCCCAGAGATCTACAAGGAAGATACCTTCTAACAATCTAAGCAATAGTGGAGATGCTACATTAAATGCCTTTCCCCAATAATGAGATTAATGACTACCATTATATGCCTTCATCCAGCAGCTGGTGGAAATAGAAGCAGACACCCACAGCTAAAAAATGAACTGAACTGGAATCCAGTTGCAGAGAAGGAGGACTGATGAGCAAAGTGGTCCAGACCAGGCTGGTGAAACCCACAGAAACAGCTGACCTGAACAACAGGGAGCTCTTGGTCCCCAGACTGATAGCTGGGAAACCAGCATGGGACTGATCCAGACCCCATGAATGTGGGTGTCAGTGAGGAGACCTAGGAAATCTATGGGGCCCCTTATCAGTACTTATCTCTAGCATAGATATGGACTTTGGGAGCCCATCCCACATAGAGGGATACTCCCTGAGCCTAAACACACGGGATGGGCCTGGGCCCCATCCCAAAGGATATAACAGACTCTGAAGACCTCCTTATGGAAGGCCTCACCCTCCCTGGGGAGCAGAAAGAGTATGGGATAGGTAGGGTGTTAGTTGGAGAGGCAGGGAAGGAGAGAAGGGAGAGGGAACGAGGATTGACATGTAAAACAATCTTTTTTCTAATTCAAATAAAAACTTTTTTTAAAAAAAGAAAAAAAAAGGAAAAAAGAAAACCTCTCTCAATGATCCAAAATGTAAATATTCTTAATTTTCTAATTAAAATATGCAGATTCACTGATTGAGTTTTAAAACAAGATGCTTCATTTGTTTTCTCTATGGAATAGACTTCACTGGAAAAGACACACAGATACGAGGAAGACACAATCTATGTCATAGATCACGGAAAAAGTAAACTACAAACCAAGAGTAGTCAGAAGAGACAAAGACCAGCACAACACATTAATAACACAGACAACCCATAAAGAACATGGGACTGGAGAAACAGCTAAGCAACATAAAGCGCTGTGCTCAAATGTGAGGATGGGAGTTTGAATCCCCAGAAACCCACATAAATGCCAGATGGGTGTAGCACCCTGCCTGTAATGCTAGCCTCAGAGGGCAGTGACAGGAGATGTCAGCACAAGCTGGCTAGCTAGCAAGACTAGCTATACTGGCAAGTTCCTGATTTGATTTGAAAGACACTGCCTCAATGTATAAGATGGAGGATGACTTACAACATCAGCCTGGGTTCTTCACATGCACATAAAACATAAAACAGTGCTTGAAGAGATCAGGGATATAAGGGACATACCTAACCATAATAAAAACAGTAGGCAGCAAGCTGACAGCCAACATCAAATTACATGGAGAAAAACTCAAAACAATTCTACTAAAATCGAGAATAAGACGTTGCCCACTTTCTCCATATCTACTCAATATAGTACTTGAAGTTCTAGGTACAGCAATAAAACAACTAAAGGAGATCAAGGAGTTACAAAATGGAAAGGAAAAAGTCAAAGTATCATTATTTGCAGATTATATGACAGTATACATAAACTGACCCCAAAAATCTACCAGGGAACTCCTACAACTGATAAATACCATTAGTGAAGTGGCTGGTTACAAGATTAATCCCCCAAAATCAGTAGCCCTCCTATATACAAACAATAAACAGGCTGAGAAAGAAATCGGGGAAACATCACCCTTCACAATAACTACAAATATAAAATATCTTGGTGGTGTAACTCTAACCAAGCAAGTAAAAGACCTGTATGAAACAACTTCAAGTCTTTGAAGAAAGAAATTGGAGAAGATATCAGAAGATAGAAAAATCTCCCATGCTCATGGATCAATAAGATCAACATGGTAAAAATGTCAATCTTACCGGAAGCAATTTACAGATTCAATGCAATCCCCATCAAAATCCCAACACAATTCTTTACAGACCTTGAAAGAATAATACTAAACTTCATACGGAAAACCAAAAAACCCAGGATAGCTAAAACAATCTGAACAATAAAGAACTTCCAGAGGTATCACCACCCCTGATTTCAAGCTCTACTACAAGGCTAGAGTAATAAAAACCAGATTGTATTGGCATAAAAACAGACAATAAAAATCAATGGAATCAAGTTGAAGACTCAGATGTAAATGCACACACCTATGGACACCTGATTTTTGACAAAGAAGTCAAAATTATACAATGGAAAAAAGAAAGCATGTTCAACAAATAGTTCTATAACTCACTGTTGGCATGTGGAAGAATACAAATAGATCTGTTATCTATCACCCTGTACAAAATTCAAGTCCAAGTGGATCAAAGACCTCAACAAAAATCCAGATACACTGAACCTCATAGAAGAGAAAGTGGGAGATAGCTATGAATGCACTGGAATAGGAGACAACTTTCTAAACAGGACACGAATAATGCAGGCACTACGATCAACAAGTAATAAGTGGGACATCATGAAACTGAAAAGCTTCTGTAAAGCAAAAGACACTGTCAATAAGACAAAATAGCAGCCTAAAATCCCCACATTTGAGAGAGGACTAATCTCCAAAATATATAAAGAACTCGAGAAATTAGATATCAACAAATCAAACTATCCAATTTTAAAAATGGAGTACAGATTTAAACAAAGAATTCTCAACAGAAGAATCTCAAATGGCTGAGAAATGTTTAAAGAAATGTTTTAACATTTAAAGAAATGTCCAGCCTTTGGGAGCTCACTCCACATAGAGGGATACTCTCTCAGCATAGACACACAGGGGAGGGTCTAGGCCCTGCTCCAAATGACATGGCAGACTTTGAAGATTCCCCCATGGCAGGCCTCACCCTCCCTAGTTGGATAAGACAACTGACTAATGCTAAGAGCTCTAATAAAAAAAGAAACAATATACAAAGACAGATGGATACCAAAAGCAGACAAGTGAAAATAATAGAATCAAAAGAAAACAAGCCAGACAAACAAAGGGCAAGTATCACATTATCTTTCATATGAAGAATCTAGACTGAAGAAAAAATACATGAAACAAGAAGGGGTGCTATTTATATAATAAGGGCATAAAGTTAACAAAGGAGGATATGAGGGTAAATAAGATCAAAGTACATTATATAAAATAAATATGAAATGTAATGTGATCAATTATTTTATATGATCAATATATGTAAAGAAAAAATTTACAAGGAAAGAAAATGCTTTGTAAATCAAAATCACTGCAACAGAAATGAAGAACAAATGCACTTGAGGATATGTCACTATAAACTCCTGAAACCAAAGGCAAAGAGAAATAGGAATGAAGCCAGGTGGGTGATGCACACCTGTAAGTTAGCACTTAGGAGGCTGAGGCAGGAGAATCAAGAGTTCAAGGCCAGACTGGCCTACACAGCAAGTTCTATGCAGGCCTGCACTGTGTCTGTGTTTCCTTGATTAGATTATTTGAGACTGGGAGACCCACCCTAAATCTGGATCATCTGAGGTAGGAAGATCTGCCCGAAATCTGAGTCATATCTTCTAGTGGCAGCCCATGAAAGGACATGGAAGAAGAACGCTTTCACTTCTTGCCTGCTTGCCCTCACTCTCACTGGCCAACTTCATGTATTTGACAAAGGATTTGCTTCCAAAATACACAAATACTTAAAACTCAAAAAAGGAACCAACTCAGGCTAAGAATGGAGCAGCACGCATTCAAGAGGCTGAAGCAAGATTTCAAGTGTGGAGCCAGTTTAAGCTACAAAGCAAGATCCTATCTGGTGACCTTAGTTCAATCCACAGACCATGTAAAGGTGGAATAAGAAAACCAATGCCAGCCGGTCGTTGGTGGCGCACCACTTGGGAGGCAGAGGCAGGCGGATCTCTGTGAGTTCGAGGCCAGCCTGGTCTGCAGAGTGAGTGCCAGGATAGGCTCCAAAGCTACACAGAGAAACCCTGTCTCAAAAAAAAAAAAGAAAGAATGAAAGAAAGAAAGAAAGAAAGAAAGAAAGAAAGAAAAGAAAACCAATGCCATAGTTATCCTCTGACCTCCACATACATCACATAACATCTGCCCAAATGCAAACACCATGGGCACACACACGAATAATAATCAACCAATAGACACTTACCAAAAGAAATAAATGCAAAATACAGACAGATGCCAGAATCACATGGCATCAAGGGGGTCTCAGATTAAGATAGTAATGCCATATCATTGGCTAACTATTAAAAATACTAAAATTCAATTTCAATTTGCCCATTGCTGGCAAAATACAGCACAAGGACTGAGTCAGTGCTGGCAGGAATGCAAATGATAAAGTCAGTAAGAAGAACCCTCAGTAGTTCTTTACACAGATACAGTAAGTAGTCTTACAAATTATCCAATAATCACATTTCTTAGTATTCTCGAAAAAACTGAAATTTTATATCCATATAAAACTTACATGGGAATTTTTATTTGTAGCTATCATCTTAGGATTTCTCTTAGTGGGATAAAACAACATGACCAAAAGCAATCTGAGGAGGAAGAGCTTCATTTCATCCTCCAGGGAATTCAGGGCAGGAACCTGGAGGCAGGAACTGATGCAGAGGCCACAAAGGTGTATTCCTTACTGACTTGTTCCTCATGGCTTGTTCAACCTGCTTTCTTATACCAGCCAAGACAACCTGCCCAGGGGTGATACCACCCACTCACTACAGGATGTGCCCACCAACATCAATCATTAATCAAGAAATGCCCGATAAGCCAATCTAGTATGGGCATTTTCACAGTTGGGTTTCTGTCATCCCAAATGATTCTCACCTGTGTCAAATTAACATCAAAACTACCTAGCACAGTAGCTTTAGTCACAATTAACAAAAATAAGAAGTAACCAAGATGCCATCAGATGTAATTACAAATTGTGTTACTCTTATAACATGGAATGTGTCCAAACAATACATGAGTTTTGATGCCCCTCCCCCAGAGTCATCCAGAAGGAAAAAAGAAGGAATAAGTGAGGCACGGGTGAATTCTGTATGATTCTGAAAAAGTGGACACATATGGATACATATTATAGCTGAATGTGACAAAGTGAACCCCTTAGCTAAGAACAATCAATCAGCATTGGTTCATCAATTATAACAAGACATCACAGTCATGAACAGGAAACCACGAAAGGAGACATACATGAGAATTCTGAACAGACTGCCCAATTTTCCTATAAAGCAAAACTGCTCTAAAAATAAAGTAAGTTACATTTCATATTTATGCTATGCATTTCATATTATATTTTATATATTGTGTATAAGTAAGCAATTATAATAATTGTGTAGTAATTATAAAATAATAAGAGTATTATTATCCTGTCTAAAGAAATATATGTGTGCATCTAACAATGCAGAGAAAAAGGATGAAAGTTTACTTCTATGAAGAAATTAATGGTCACTTTTCATCCTTTCCACTGTACTCTAAATTTTTCAACAATGGCCATAAATTATACAAAATGTTTTTGAAATTGGAAAAAAATTTTAAGTATTCAGAAAATCAAATCCTTTTGCCAAGCTTACTCCACACAGTGTGACAGAAGTGCAGAGTCTGAGCACACTCACCTTCTGGCAGCACAGTCTTTGTCATCCGTGACCCAGCATTGGGGGCGATGGTGTTGCAGTGAATGTTGTTCTTCCTGCCTTCAATTGCCAGAGTATTGCAGAGGCCCAGAACACCCATCTTCGCAGCACTGTAATTTGCCTGACCAAAGTTGCCATATATCCCAGAAGCTGAGGAAGTCATAAGGATCCTAAAAGAAAACAACCCCTCAACATCATCTCACCCATGTTTTCCCAACACTGAAGCCCTGACTCTATCCTGTCAAAGGCACATAGCATCCTTCACTTCTCACAGCTGTGACTCACATAGTTAGAATAATGTTGATAGAATTGGGATGTTTCAGAACATCACAATTTAAGTGCATAGAAAGGATTTAAGTGCATAGAAAGAATCTCTGATTACAGCCAAGTGAATTTAAATATAATGATGTCTATATACTAAATCAAACCCAACAATATTTATAGATACAAACTAGCAACATGTAAATTAAAATTTTGGCAAGAAATATTAAGTTGAACAGTTGTAATTCTTTAATGGTCACCACTTGGCTGCTCAGTTTCTGGATAATACTAAATGCCATTCTAAAACCTAACCCAATCTCACTCTGCTTAGAACAAATAAAATAAATCACACCATTTACTTTCAACCATCAAGATCAATATAAAAGTCTCAACAACAACAACAACAACAAAAAAAGTCATCAGTAACAATGTGCTTCTACAACTATCTGAAGCCTAAATTGCAGGACTGAGCCTGACACCAGAGTGGATGGTATAAATGGACCCATATTAAGTTATACTTGTGCAGTAATAAAATTAAGTCCTGTAGCCAGGCAGTTCACAAAGTCTAGCTCATGGTGGGCTAGCATCAGAAGAAAGGGCAACTCATCTCTGTCCAGCCAGTTACCAGGCACAATAAATAGCATTCTGTTTATGAGCAAATCTTCGGTGCCTGCACTGCCTTCTGAAATGGTTGTGTGCAGTTTCCTACAAAACTAAAAATCTTCCATCTTGGAATGAAGCTCATTAAGCCACACGATGGTTACAGAGCCGAAACAAGAAGATGTCCTAAGGGGAGGTAAAACATTCCACACTGCTAGGAAGCTCAGTAAGCTCAGTAACTATGCAAAGACTTTAGGAAGTCCCTGAAACCAACAGGATTCACTAGATCCTACCCTCCCCAGGGGTCCATAAGTAGTAAAGATAGCTGATAAAGACTCTCAGCCAACCTGACCTGTCTAGAAGAGGCTCAACTCCACTGAGACACCTGGTAAGTCACTCTCCAACCTGTTGTGCTCTTACAGGTCATTCAGTGAACTCCAGTTGTCCAGTTTTTGTGAACTGTAGCCTATGCTAATGTGGAACTTTGGTGATACAGCCCTCTTTGAGTCCTTTCTGCTCCTGTTAGTGGCCCCCACCCATATTCCTGTAATTAACTCCAACAAAACTCATTGTTTTGCCAAGTGGTTTCTGTACTTCTGTTGTTGGTTCCCTATCTGGGAATAAACAAACATTGTCTCCCCAAGAATAGCGTCACACAACAAAAATGATGGAGGTTCATGGGAAATGTACTAATAATGAAAAGCATGTGGTGAAAGAAAGATACAAACCTAGTAAGTGGGCACTAAATGACACTTGAAAGCCTGAACATGTATAAGAGTACTTGCCCCAGTACCAAGCAATTGTTTAAGAGCACTTGATGCAAACATCTTCAATCCTCTCTGGTGACTTCAGGCAACTCTACCTTCCATAATTCTGTTTCTTCATATGATCCCATGCTGCCCGGGTCACTTGGAAAGAGCCCCGCAAATGAACTCTCTGAATAATATCTAAAAAACAAATTATTTTTATTATATATTTTGTCAAAAGTTAGGTATGCTTTAGAATAAACTTATACAAACATATTATATTTACTCAAACTTATACAACATATCATTTTATATCCAGCATTCATAACCACCTATGGTCATACCCAAGTAATCACTCTTGCTTTCATTACAATTATGCTAGCAATCATCAATTCATACCCATACCTATGAACTTTTCCTATAATTTATAAAATTATTGTAATCCTTGAATATATCTAAACATAATGCTATACTAAATGCCCACTCAAAAAAATTTATTAATATAACCTGAGAGGGCAGGGAGACGGTTCAGTTGGTCTTTTACATCTCTACTTGACTGTGTACCAGGCAACACAAACTTAACCAAAGTAAATTCTGGCCACCCTCCCTTCAATAAGCACATTTAGGGATTTAGTTCAGCTGGGAAAGGGCTTGTCACATAAACATGACCTGAGTTGGAGTCCCAGGAGCCATGTGGAAAAGTTAGGCATGGTGGTAAATGTATACAATCCCAGTGCTGGTGAGGTGAAGGTGGTCCCTGGGACTGCCTAATCAGCAAGTCTAGCCTAATTAATGAGCTCCAGACCAATGAGAGGTCCTATCTCCAAGGAGGCAGGTAGCATTTCTGAGGATAACCCAGCATTGTCTCTGGCATATAAATGTATATGCCTATCCATCTGACACAAATTCACTAGCTAATATACATGCATTAAAAGCAAATATCTAAATATAATACCCATGAATTTACGTATGTAACTTGTACTCAAAATAACCAAACATAGTTAGACCACACTGCTCATCACTGGGGAATATTTAGAAGATACTATTATCTCTATTTTTGCCAAGATTTTCAAATGAGTTAGAGGGGGTCTACTTTCAAAGACTTCAATCCTGTGAGTAGACCCCTTGGGAACATTTTAGAGAAACAACTCTAGGTTGAATGCTGTCTCGTTTTGACCATTCTTACCTATTTGGTTTCATCTGGAAACCCCCAAAATTTTTACATACAAATATTAGATGAAAGGGATTGTAAATGCAAAACCAAGGTTAGAAAAAGGGGTGATGGATTGGGGGACTAAATAGGGTAGAATCCCTTCTGTTAGGTGGAAAAGTCCCACTTGCCAGCCAGTCTTCTCTCTCTCAGCTTCCTTTCCCAACTGTCCCAAGGGAAGAGGAACTAAAAGCTTTCCTTTCCTTAATTCTGGGTTGCAAGGATATCATGCCTTTTCCAAAAGCTCTAGGGCCAGAGATGAATTCTTAGCAATGATGTGATTGTCCCAGCTCAGCTGCTATGCCTGCCACTGTCTGAGCCACTGGTCTCTTGTGATGACTGATGAAAACAACCAAACAGGAACAAAAGAAAAATAAACTACAAGCATGATTTCATCATTGTACAAATTCAACCTTTGCAACAAGGGAAAGGAAAATGAAAAATATTTCCTATTTATTAGAAACTTCAGATGTATATGTACAGGTTTTGTCCTACTCTTTTCTTAAAACCTTTGTTTTTAATTTGTAGTGCCCTGTGCTCTTTCAAATCCTGCTCTACTCATGGTGGCAGGAGGTGCAGAGGGGACACAGCTAGATAAAATATGGTAAAGGGGGCTGGAGAAATGGCTCAGTGGTTAAGAACACTAGCTGGTCTTCCAGAGGTCCTGAGTTCAATTTCCAGCAACCATATGATGGCTTACAACCATCTGAAATGAGATCTTCTGCCCTCTTCTGGCCTGCAGGGATCCATGTGGACAGAACACTGTATATATGATAAATAAATAAAATCTTTTTTAAAAAATGGTAATAGCTATTAAAAAAGAGTTAATACTGCTAAAAAAAAAGCTAACAACCTCTTGGGGAGATAAAAGGAGAAACATTGCAAGAAACAAAATTATTTTCAGTAACTTCTGCAAATGACAGAACTATTTTTTAACAAATGTTTAAAAATATGATACTTCTAACTATATAAATCATTGTCAATAGTCTAAATTCATTTATATTAACAGTAGCAAATAGAAGGTATTTCCTTAACTGTACATATGCATTAAATATTAAATTGACAAAATGGATAGTTACATTCCACAGAAACATGAAAAACAGCTTACCCCAGTCTTCATCACTTATCCTGGAGAAGGAACGGTCCCTCAGGATTCTAAAATATTGACAATATGTATGGTCAGAGTGGAAAGGAAAATATATAGTGATAAACACAATGGTGTGTACTTTATTTGAAATGAAAATAAAAACTCACCCAGCATTATTGACCACAACATCTACAATATAAAAAAGATCCCAAGTTACATAAAACAAATATATTAATTTGCACTTGCTTACAGTTCACATCTATTTTAAAACTGTTTCTAAAAGCCCCCAGAAAAACTAAATATAAGAATGCTGTCAAAAACAAAACTTTATACCTATAGCAAAAAACTTACAAAAATACAATCACCACGCCTTATCTTCCTGTCAAATGTAAATATTTAAATTTCCTTTCTTCTGCCAAAATCCTGGTAGCCCACAAGCTATCTACACCCTCGAGTGAATCAACTACAATCCTTCTTGTACTTAACTTCAAAATCCACTCATAGAGTTAACAGTTCTCAACATGCTCTGCAACAGTCAAAATTCAAGAAGCCAGGGAAGTAAGCACCAGGATTCAGGCCTGTAATCCAGTCACTTGTGAAGTGAAAGCAGGAGGCTCATGAGATGAAAGCCAGTCTCACCTACACAGCAATTTTGGTGGTAACCTGTACTACATGAGACCTTGTCTCAAAAACAAACAACAAAAAAAAAAAAAAAGAAAAGAATCCAAAAGAAAGAGGAAGAGGAGAAGTAGAAGAGGAGGAGGAGGAGGAGGGGGAGGTGCTGGAGAGATGGCTCAGAGGTTAAGAGCACTGATTACTCTTCCAGAAGACCCAAGTTCAATTCCCAGCAACCACATGGTGGCTCACAACCATCTGTAATGAGATCTGGTGTCCTCTTCTGACCTGCAGGCTTACATACAGGCAGAACACTGTATACATAATAAAGAAATCTTTAAAAAAGAAGAAAAGCACTGAAGTTAGAAATTAATTGCCTATTTGATAAGTCTTCATAATCTCACTATATGCAAAGAAAGTAAAGCTTTTAAAGATTCAATCACTGGAATCCTGTGGCTGTCCCCATCCTCTGCCTTCACACTCTGTGGTTTCTGTCCCTGTCAGATGGCACATGACCATGGCTCTTACGATTCAACCAACGAAACTAGAACAAGAAGTGTGTCAGACTTAACAAGGAAGGGATACACTCAATTGACAAAAAGTAGTGCTGTCCAGGCAGTTTCATTTCCCTCTGGCAATCCATTAATTTTAGTAGAATGTGTGGACTAAACCACAGGAGGAGTATGTACAGAAGAAGGACCAAGAGTACACTTATTGAGCTGGGTACTTTTATGTCAACTTGACACAGGCTAAAGCCATTTGAGGTAAGGGAGCCTCAATTAAGAAAATGCCTCCTAAAATCTGGCCATAGGAAAGCCTGTAAAGCATTTTCTTAATTAATGATTGATGAGGAAGTACCCAGCCCATTGGTCCTGGGTTCTATAAGAAAGCAAGCTAAGCAAGCCATGAGAAGCAAGTCAGTAAGCAGCACCCCTCCATAGCCTCTGCATCAGCTCCTGCATCCAGGTTTGAGTTCCTGTTCTGACTTCCTTTGATGATGAACAGTGATATAGAAGTGTAAGACAAATTAACCCTTTCCTCCCCAACTTGCTTTTTGGTCATGGTGTTTCATCATGGCACTAGAAACCCTAACTAAGATACACATAATTCTTCAAAATTTATAAGACCTAAATGAACTTAATTATTAAAAAGAATGCACCAGGTTCATTATTGCCAAAATACTGATTTATCTCAGAAATGTATTTAAGACTTAATTGAATTATAATTAAAAAGGGAAAAGAGCTTATGCTCACAATATTTTTTAATCACTTAGGTGCAAAAAAATTTAAAAAGATATATATAGAGACATATATATGCATATATAAACATGTTATTAAGAGTATCACCTCAAGTCTATTATGAAGTAAAACAGGTTAAATAAAATATTTGAATTATAAAACAAACCCAAAAATTTAAATAGCAAGATATATTTGTTTACTAAACAAATGTCAATTCAAAAATACTAGGAAGTTAGAAAGTGCTTCATTAGGGGCTGGAGAGATGGCTCAGAAGTTAAGAGCACTGGCTGCTCTTCCAGAGGACCTGAATTCAAATCCCAGTAACCACATGGTGGCTCACAACCATCTGCAATGAGATCTGGTGCCCTCTTCTGGCATGCAGGCAGAACACTGTATACATAATCAATAAACAAATCTTAAAAAACAAAACAAACAATGCTTCAGCAAGACCATGTCACAGTTAGCTGTCATTGTTAACTTAACCCAACCTATAATCACCTGGAAGAAAGTCTCACTGAAGGACTGTCTACATTGAGTTCACCTATGTGCAAGTCTGTGGTGGACTATCTTAATTAAGCTAATTGATATGTGAAGACCTGGGCCACTATAAGTGGCACCATTCCTTAAGCAGGGTGTTCTAAACTGTGTAAGAACGGGGAAATGGAGCTGAGCACAGGCAAGCAAGTAGCAAGCACACATTCACATCCCTGCTACAGATCAGTGATGTGACTAGTATTTCATTCCTGTCATGACTTCCCCACAATGACAGACTACAGCCTAGATTTGCAAGTCAAAATAAATTCCTTTCTCCCTAAGTTGCTTTTCCTGGTGGTATTTTACCACTGTAATAGAAATGGAACTTAAAGGAACTATAAATGCAAGAAAACATCACCTATTCTGCCGAAAGCATCCAGGGCTGTCTTCACAAGCTTCTCTCCTGCTTCAACCGAATCTGACAAGGGCAATGAGGACAAAACTTCAATCATTTCCCACAAATCACTTCCTGTGGCTCAGAGCAAAAGCATGAGTGATACTATCACCAAACAGAATTAAAATCAAAAAAGGCACATAGCAATCAACAGAGTTCAGTATTACCAAAAAAATGTTTATGCCAGGCAGCACAATGCTGCCAAGAACTAACCACAGCAACACTGTCCAATAAAACTGCTTATGGAAAAGGGAAGGGGTATGAAGTAATACATGTTAATTACATTTTTAAACTTCCTATGAAGTTGAAAATACTCTATTCCACCATTGCATAATACAGCAACCAATAATCAAATGTGGCTACTGAGTGTTCAAAAGTGTGGCCAGCATAGCAGGCAAATACTTAGTTTAACTGAATTTATATTTAATTTTACATAACTACACAGGCATTTCACCTTAATGGCAAATGAAAACTTGGGACAAACGGAGGTACACATTTAATTTGTAAAAGCATATACATTATTATACAACTGCATGGAATATCAATAAAAACCCAGTTTTGAAATATTAAGCACAAAAAGTAGAGCAAACATTGTGGTTTTCATATTCAGCTGGTCTAAGTGCAAAGGCGGGGCGCTGCCTGCTGTCATTTCCCATCACCACTGCTCTGGAAAAATCATCAGTCCCTTTTTCGGCACCCAGGAATAATGGCATTCTCTTTCAGAGGACCCAGAAAATACTGTTGCTCCTCTCCATGGCATCCAAACAGTCCTTGGTCAGAGATACAGGTTGAGGCCAGGTGCTATAGCACACCCCTATAACCACAGAATTTGGTATGCTTGGGGGAAGAGGGCCTCAAGTCTTAGGCCAAGCTGAACTATATAACAAAACACCACTCTGTCTGTGTGTGTGTGTGTGTGTGTGTGTGTGTGTGTGTGTGTGTGTGTGTGTGTGTGTGTGTAAAATAGCTTATATATGCAGCCACTTTCCAAAACGCTAGGAACAAGAAGCATTTTTTTTCCTCAGATTTTGGATGATTTGCCTACACATACTGATCTATCTTGGGGCTATAACCCAACTCTACACAAAATATTTATTCACATGTCCTGTGTATTCACTGTACACTCATACCTGAAGGTAAGTTTGTATATAACCTCTACTGGACCTATTCAGAACTGACTACACTCTGTCAGGTGAGGTCAGTTGTGAAACATTCTACATCTGACATCACCTTAGCACTCAACAAGTTTTAGGCTGTGGAGCCCTTGGTGTTCAGATTTTCTGGTCACCAATGCTCACTGTCTAGATGACATTAAAATGCAGTCCCAGGTAAGACTGAGGACTCATCGAGGTGAGCTCGAAGGCTGCACCAGCTCCAGTGGTCACTGCCAGCTTCCTGAGCCTCATCTATCCAGCCCTTGTAATGGCTGTTGAGCTTCTAATTCCAAGAAAAGCTTCAGGACTTAGAAAACCTGGAGGGGCTGCTGTCTTGACTGATACAGACCACACAAATGAGAACTGCAAAAGGAAGGAACCTGAGTTCTCATCCTTATAAGCTTTTAAGGCTCTAAATTTTGAAGGAAAAGTTGAAACATTTTTTTTTCTAAATCACCAATGTAGGGGAAAAAAGACAGTAAGCATCTCATTAGCATCTCGTTAGCATCTCATTACTCCCTTAGATAATATGAAGCAAATCCTACCTCCTTCCCTGTAAAGCTGTCAAAATGAAGTCAAGCTACTACAACCTGGTTCCAGAGAAGTCAGTAGCCACTAGCTTGAAAAGTAAATCTACAAAGTCCTCTCCAACACAACTAGAATAACAAATCAAAATGGGAAAGCTCTATTTGCAGGGTTTTTTGTGTCATACTCATATCTAATTTGACACTTGAGTTTTGCATACAGTAGTGACTGCTTGAGCACAACAGAACATGGCAGCTGATACAGTAAAGGGCTGTTCACCACTTAGCACAGTATACTGTGAGAATCTTTTAAAAGAATGCTGTGGAGATATGTTAAGATCTTTAGTTTAAACAAGCCTATAAGAACTGTTGATGAAATTACCTACATCAAAAGTTCAGAAACTTCTCACATATAATATAAAGTATGTTCTCAAAAGGCTTGATAGATATAGGTAAAATCTAATTTCATAGTTACGGTGTAACACTGAGCTATGTCTCAGAGATGACTATATGCGCAATTTTAATCAGTGGAAGGAAAGTTGACAATCTCTACCTGTCACATACCGTTACTGGGATAGTTTATACCTGAGTCATACCATAATTGGCCACTGCTTTCCCGCCTCTCCTTCTTATCTCTTCCACAACTTTGTCCGCAGCTGAGGAACCTTTACCAAATCCCTTGAAGTCTCCCCCTAAGTCATTCACTGCGATGCAAAAAAAAAAAAAAAAGAAAAAAGAAAAAAAGAAAGAAAGAAAAAGAAAACAGGTCAGTTTTCACATCTTCCAAGTATATAAAATCCAAAGCATTTGTGTATCTCTTCAATCATCTGCACATTTCCCTGCTGCATTATCACCAATCTTACTAAAATAAACATAAAGAGGAGGGATGAGTGGGGCAGGGGTTTGGAAAACTACTTCAAGAGTAAATATACAAGAAAACAATGAAGAGGTTTCTGGAAACTTTAAAACAAATAAACAAACAAGTGGGCCTAACTAATGATGAGGGATACAGAAGGCAGGTGGGAGCAATCGTGAAAGAGGGGTGAAGATTAGATATGATTGATGCATGCTGTATGCATATGAGAAAACAGCACACTGAGCCCCAAGAATATGTGCAAGTAAAATGAGCTAACAAAATAAAAAATTAAAAAGAAAACTACCAACAATCCATTTAGACAAAACAACTAAAATCAAAAGAAAAAAAATGATAGCAGATCTCAGACTGCAGCACAGTTCACAGCAGCTAAGGTAGGGAAGTGATCCAGTGTCCACAGCAGGCAAATGGATGAAGAAGAGGGTGAAGTATGACAACCAGAAAAGGACAAACAATAAAGAGTCCCCTTATATATGGCTTTTGGTATAGTCAGATTCCTAGACTTAGACTAGACAGATAGTTGGTTCCAGGAACTGGAAGAAGTTGGAACTGGGGAGATTTTAATAGGCCTAAAGCTTCAATTATGCAAAATAAATAGTTATTCAGACTTACTATGTAACATAGTGCCTATAATAATAGTATACTGTAAATTTAAAACTGAAGTGAGCATTGTCTTCTTACTACAATAAAGTTTTTTTTGTTTTGTTTTGTTTTTGGTTTTTCAAGACAGGGTTTCTCTGTGTAGCTTTGGAGCCTATCCTGGCACTCACTCTGGAGACCAGTATGGCCTCAAACTCACAGAGATCTGCCTGCCTCTGCCTCCCGAGTGCTGGGATTAAAGGCGTGTGCCACCAACGCCTGGCTCTACAATAAAGTTTTTAAAGATGATAAACACACACTATAAAGTACCTTCCCCATGTCAAAAAAAAACATTATTTAATGTAAGTGTACATAGATGTATGTACATTGTAAATTTTCCTAAAACACAATGACATAATCTAGAATTCAGAAAAACGTCTATTAAAAGAGATCACAAATTATATACCAAACTAATACATTTTCAATTACTGGTCACAAGTAAGTACACAAAATCTCCATAAACTCAATTATACAATTACTGTCATCAATTATACACTGACAATACTCAGAGAAAATCTACAGTGGGACACATAAAGTGAGAGAATGGTGCTAACCCTCGGGATTTCTGACTTACTGAAAGTTAAATGAACAAGGGAAGATTTTTAGCATAGAGTATTTATCAAAGCCAAAGTAAGCCAGTACTAGGGACAGATGACAGTAATTAAAAAATAACATGCAAACACTAATGAAACATACAGAACAATGCCAAATAACTTAGAAAAACAGAACGTAAGAAAAATATTTGGGGCCGGGCAGTGGTGACGCACGCCCTTAGTCCCAGCACTCAGGAGACAGAGGCAGGCAGATCTCTGTGAGTTCGAGGCCACAGAGCTACAAAGCTACACAGAGAAACCCTGTCTCAAAAAATAAAAAGTAAAAAAAGAAAGAAAACTATTTGGAGTTGATGGCTGCTGGCAGGAGCAGGGAGTGGAAGGACTCAGTTTTCTTTAAGGGCCACTGAGAGTCTGACCATGTTCCAGTGATTATATGAAAATGATTGGGAAGAAATTAAACATTGCTTAATAGTGTGTGTGTGTGTGTGTGTGTGTGTGTGTGTGTGTGTGTGTGTGGGGGTGTGTTTTTGTTTTGGTGTGGGTGGGGGGGGGGGGGGACCTGGGAGGACTGGAAGTGAATGTGATCAGGGTACATAATGTGAAATACCCAAATATTCAATAACAATGTTATATTGGCTGGGGTAAGAAAAGTATTTGGGATGAAGACTATATTGTAAGTGGGTCATTTCTGTAGGGCTACTACATAATTTTGAGTATAAACCTAATAAATTACTAATTAAATGGTGAGAGATTACATACTACAACTAAGTTTTTCAATATTGATGAGAGGGGTATTTTGCTTGTTTTCTTTTTTCTAGAGAAAAACATCCCTTTTAATTGAAATGAGGTGACTAAGGAGATAAAGAGGACACAGAGAAAAAAAAAAAAAAACCAACACCTAGTCACACTAAAAATCAGCCCCAATAAATGTGTTTCCAGTCCTTTTCTCTTTTTTTCTTTTTTAAAGAAATGAGTTTTCCTAAATTTAGACAGGGATATTTTTCTAATCAAGTAATATTACCCATCTTGCTGAAAATTAAAAATCTCTGTAAAGACACAAGTAATAAGCAGGGACACATTACCCTCAAGACACGGAAAGGGGGGTGATTCTTCAAAATCTGATGTCTATTAATTATTCATTTCCATGCAATTATTCAAACGACAGAATAACAACTAGTTAAAAGTAATCAAAATTTTGAGACAGACAGGAATTTTGGTGACTTTTTAAATTAATTTTACATTTTTAATTAAAATATAATTATATTACTTCCACCTTTCCCTTTCATGCTTCTTTAAAAAAATAAATAAATAAAATAGCACAAGAACTTCCAATACCAAATTGACAAATACAGCATTTAAGTGGGGAATTTTTCCACTATGAAATGAAACACTGCTCCCAAGTGGAGACATTAGAAAGCGCAGCCAAGCGCACTGAAGGTTGGACAATGCAAAGGAAAAAGGACACATTGTTAAAAGCATGGAACAGATATTCAATAGGTCTCTGCATTAGAGGACTAAACTAACAAATTCACTCAGTCACCAGGTCACAATCATGGGGACATTAGGAACACCTGTTCAAGCACTGAATGGCTGGCAAGCAGTAATTTACAAGCTTATTTGTAATCAAATATGAAAAGAATTGTCATATTTCTAGCATGCTATGTAACATGGCTGTCACTCCAATACATGGTCAAAGTTCCAAATGCAAGAGCAACACACCAAGCACTTTACTTTTATGTTTGCTTCCTATCTTTCAACAATTATACACTGATGATTTAATGTTCGCAGTTTTTCAAGAGTTTGCAATAACTACTCTTGTGTTCAGTGATGAAAACACATTTACACTTTAACTCAGACTTGTATATGTAAATCTTAATCTAGAACCAGGACTTCCTACCTCATACCTCAGCAGCACTGTGTTCCTCTGTCACACCCAAGCTGCTGGAGCTTAAAAGGAACAATCATTTCTACTAAGAAAATCAAGAATGTTCGATTGAGGAAGGCACAGAGGAAAGGATAAAGCAGCCACTCCCCTCAGGTTAATGGCATTTGTGTTAAGATCATGATAGCTGAGGATAGCTTTCTCAGCTGGATCCATCACAAGTTCTGAAGTGTGATATGTTTGTATATTCCCCACTTAAAAATCCCTTTCATGGGTCAGATGTCCCAGCATGTGCTTGTAATTGCGACACACGGAGACAGAGGAAAGAGGACCAAGAGTTTTTAAGTTATCCTTCGCTACACAGTAAACTCTGAGCTAGCCTGAGCTACATCAGATCCTGTTTCAAAAAAAAAAAATCAGTTCACAACCTGAAAGGTTTTTGTTTTTGTTTGTTTCTTAAGCAAATTCATTGCCCTTTTCTTGTCATTTTCAATTAAATCAGTGACCTAGCTGGGCAGTCTATTAAGGACTGTTTGGTTTGGTTGGGTTGGGGGCTGGTTCTCATAAACTTTTAAATAACAGCTGTATTCAA